GTAAAAGTAATTACCATTATTATTACTTATTCTTATTATTCTTGTTTTTATTATTTTTGTGAACTTTACTATCATTTTTATTGCTATCATTATTATTATTGTTATCATTATTATTATCATTATTATTATTATTATTATCATTATTATTATTATTATTATTATTATTATTATTATTATTATTATTATTATTATTATTATTATTATTATTATTATTATTATTATTATTATTATTATTATTATTATTTATTATTTATATTATTATTATTATATTATATTATTATTATTATTATTATATTATTATTATTATTATTATTATTATTAATATTATCATGATAATGATTATTATAATTATTAAGATAATATTGATGATGATACTAATAATGATAATTATAAAATGGTAATATTAATAATGATAATGATAACAATAATAATGATAATAGTAACGATAATAATAATGATGATAATGATAATAATGATAATAATGATAATGATGATGATGATAATAATGATGATAACAATGATATTGATAATGATAGTACTGATAAAGATTATGATATATCATCATTATTTCTCTCATTATTACTATTATTATTATTATTATTGTTATTATCAGCATTATTATTTTTACTGTTTATATTATTGTTATTATCATTATTGTTGTTATTATTATTATTGTTGTTATTATTATTACTATTATTATTATTATTATTATTATTATTATCATTATTATTATTATTGTTATTATTATTATTGTTATTATTATTATTATTGTTATTATTATATTATTGCCATTATTATAATAGTTATAATGTTTTGATGATCATTATTATTTTTAAGACAATTATCACTGTCATCATCATCATTATTATTAGCGTTGTAGTTGTTGTTATTATTATTATTATTATTATTATTATTATTATTATTATTATTGCTATTATTATCATTATCATTATAATTTTTATTATTATTATTATCATTATCATTATAATTATTATCATTATTGTTGTTGTTGTTATTATTATAATGATTATCATCATAATTCTTATTATTGTTATTAGTATTGTCATCAATATTGTCCTTATTATTGATGCTATTTTTATTAACTTTTGGCTGTTATTATTATCATTATCATAATAATAATTATTATAATTATTATTATCATTACTATTATTATTGTTGTTATCTTATTATCATTATTGTTATTATTATTATTATTATTATTATTATTATTATTATTATTATTATTATTATTATCATTATTATTATTATTATTATTATTATTATTATTATATTATCATATTATAATTATATTATTTATTATTATTATTTTTATTATTATTATTATTATTATCCATTTGCTTATTATCATTATGTTATTATATAATTATAATGATACTGATGATTGTAATAACATTAACAGTAATCATAATAATAATCTAAATAATAATGATTAATATGATAATAATAATTGGTAACATAATGATAATGATAATGAAATGTTTATGATGTTGATACTGATGATAGTGATGATAATAAATGATTAATAATAAAGATAATAAATGATTATAATGATAATAATATAATAATAATAATGATATTGATGGTAACGATGATAAAAAATACAATAATGACGGATAATAATAAACAACAACAAAGAATGATGATAATGAAAAATGATGGTAGTAATGAATGATATGATGATGATGTGATGATTACAATAATAATGATAAAGATAATTAGAAAATAGTAATAATAATAATTAATGATAATAATAATAATACTGATGATAATAATCAATAAACAATAATATATATAATTGATAACAATAATAAGATATACCCCAATTAATTATAATAATAAACAATTATATTTTATAATTAACAATGCATGATTGATAGATGATAATGATAACAATGATAAATGTAATGGAATGAGTTAATGATAACCCTCAAATTAGCATGATAGTATAATGATTAATTGATAACAATTGATAATGATAATTGATGTAATGATAATATTATCATTATCATTATTATCCTATTATTAAATGATCTAGTAATTATTGATAATAATAAAGGATAATTACAATAGTTTAAATACAACACAATAGTAATGATAACCGAAGTGATTTTTAACAAAAATATAAATTTCACCAATTGATCAACAACTCAAGCCAACAAAACATGTGAAACGATTAAAGAAAAAAGTGATGATAGGAAAAAGAAATATATTGATTTAATCCACAGTTCATAATGATATTGATAACAACAACAACAACAACCAATAAAGGTAATGATAATTGATGATGTATGATTGATGCCAATGATGGGTTAATTATCATTATTAATCATAAGGTTAAAAAAAATAAATTGTATTACATGGTATGGTAGTAATCATAATAACTATAATAACTGTTATTATTTTGGTAAAAATAATTGTCAATGGTAATGGTACATTGGTAATGTTAAAAGTTAAATGATACCTAAAAATAAAAATTAAAGACAATAAGAAAAATATATCATGGATTCTCTTGATGGGATAATTTAAATAAATGATTGATAATTACCCCGGCCCCAAGATAAGTAATGATAATATTATTAAAAGCAATAACGGAGAATGATTAATAATGATTTTTGATAATGATAGATATAAAAGATAATTGAGAAAAACCAAAAGGACAGGCACTATTACTTAATGATTAAAAAATTGAACAATAACACGAGATGAGGGTGGCAGAGCAGGAAAGGGAAAGGTTAGAAGGCCAAGAGAAAGGAGAGGGAGAGAGGGAAAAAAGGTGAGAGGGGACGCGTTGGTGAAGCCCCAAAAGAGAGGGAGAAAGAGGGAGAGAAAAAAGGGAGAGAGGGGATGCGTGAAGAAAAGACGAGGAAAGGAAAGTGGGAGAAAACAAAGGGAGAGGGACGCTGTGAAAAAAACAACGAAGAGAGGGAGAAAAGGGAGAAAAAAAGAGAGAGGGGATGCAGTGAAGCAAAAAGAGAGAGGGAGAGAGAGGGAGAAAAAAGGGAGAGGGGACGCGGGAAGCAAAAGAAAAAGGGAGAAAGAGGAAGGAGTAGAAATACGTCTTACATCGGCAAAAGGAAAGAGGAGAAAGAGGGAATAAGTAGAAATAACGTCTTACATCCGTAGAATTTCCACTGGGGTTCCCGCTAGTTTATTCTTCATCACTAGTAATAATACTGATGATCAAGATAATTATTGTTATTATCACTATGACTGTTATTATTTTTATCATTATTTTCATTACTGTGACTATTATCATTATTAGTATTGTTGCCAATTTTTATCAGTATTATTATTGCTAACTATCTATTATTATCAATTATTTATTGCTATTATTTTCATTATTGTCATCGTTGTTATTGTGATTATATCTTATCATCATTATTGTTATTTTCATTTCAATTGTGATTATCATCATAGTTATTTTTATATCATTATTATTATCTTTGCTTTTATCATCATAACCATCATTGCTGTTATAATTATCATTATCAATATTATTGTTATTACTAGCATTACTATCACTATCATTATTGATTCTAAGGCGCATGAAAGCGAACTGCTCTGTCTTTTTTTTTATATCGTTTTCCGATTGGTGTATCATTTCTAGATTTTGAGTGACCTTCTGTAGCCTCCATAGCAACTGCACGCCCTTTGGAGGTTTTAAAATGTAATGCCGCGCCTTTTGCTTGATGGTGGGCGCTCGATACCAATTCTCAGACAGTTGTTGAACCAGTTCCATCGCCGACAGAAGCCTTGCGTATATTGGACATGGGTAATTTCATATTTAAAATAATCTTATACACCTTTAATAACATTTAAGGTCCCGCCATATCTATTCTCGTGATTCCAAGTGCTGGTGGCATGGTAACTGCGTAGCCATTCCTAGGAAATCCCTCGCGAAGTTTGGGTTCAGCACTTTTAAAAGTTGATGATATTCTTTTCGATGTGAAGTGCCGTTTACGATCTTTAAGGCAACCTCTACCAAGGTCTGTACCGTAGGCAGTCACGCGAATTTCGTTCTGTCGCCTGGTATTTGTAAAACGGATTTTCCAGAACAACATAATTGAGAGAAAAAGATGTGAACCTATTGTTACAATAGTGACAATGTTTTGGAACTGACTTGAATTTTTGTTCATATATAATCATATTTACTTAGAGTCCAGCTATTTTATAGTATATAAACCAAGAATCAGGCACAATACTTCCAAATCCCTCCCCATCCCCTTCCCTGCGAGTCATGACGTACCCACCCCATCTTCCATCCTGGCCTCAAGCAAGGCTAAGCCCACTGGGTGCGGCGCGGCAGGAAGCGTCGCAGCCGCCGCGGACCCGGGCGCGGCGGCGTCGGCGACCACGAAATTTAACTCATTGAGAACAGTCCCATGTTTGACGAAAGGATCTCGCAAATGGAGTTAAAACTATCTCTCAGTAGCCGCTTACACACACCACCCACACCCACACCCCACACCACACACACACACCACCACACACACACACACACACAACACACACACACACACACACACACACCACACACACACACACATTTTATATATAATATAATTATATATATATATATATATTATATATATTATATATTACATACACACACCACACACACACACACACCACATATATATATAATATAATATATATATGATATATTTATATATATATATATATATATATATATGTGTGTTTGTGGTGTGTGTGTGTGTGTGTGTGTGTGTGTGTTTGTGTGTGTGTGTGTGTGTGTGTGTGTTGTAATTGTGTGTGTCTGTGTTGTTGTATGTATGTATGTATCTATATATATAAATATTATTTAATTCCAATATGTATACATACATAATTATTATTATATATATATATAATTATATAATAATAAATATATTATATATATATATATTGTATATGTGTGTATATCCACTTATATGTATATTCATATATATTAAATATCTATATTTCTATACATCACCTACTTGTGTGTAAGTGTGTTATTCAAGTATATAATTTCTGTCGAGACTAGAGAAGAGTCAGTCGCAGGTCTCCTCCCAACCACCGGTCGAGCGACGTCGGCGACCCCGCCTCCCGCTCGCCGCTCCCTCGCCGCGCGTCGCGTCGAGTGCGGCGTCGAAATGAAGACCTTTGACTTGAGCTGCGGCCTTAATCCGGGCATTTCCGTCGGCATGGCGCCCGATGGCACTATCGTTTTCTCTGAGCGGCCTGGAGGTGCGCTGCCCACGCTGTCCTGCTTGCGTCTGCTTTGACGACTTCGATCAATAGTTGTTTTAACATGCTCGCAGGAATTTTGTCTTGTCTTCGGAAAGAACATTCCAGCCCGTCTGGAATCTGATTTTATATCCATTTATTGATTTAAAGTTCGTTTTTTTTTTTTTTTACTGAACCAAAGATCGTAATCGATACATCGGCTTTCTGAGCAGTTTACATTAAATCTTAAAGAGATTTCTTGAAGCTACATCTTCAGTGCAGAAGTGTTAGCATTACTCAGGTGCTTACTCTGAGTAATGCCCATACTTCAGTATGGTTTCTTAGTGTGTTCATTCTGATAGACTTGGATGTAAATTGATAATATGAAGATATTCAATTTGATATATATGTTTATAAATGTGTACGTATATATCTATCAGTCAGTCTGTGACACGTTTTGACTGCACCTATTAGATGTTCATTGCTAATTCCTTGATAGCAAGAGTTAATTATGATGTAAAATATATCTGCATACAGTTTAAGCATAAACAACATAAGAGATGCGCAATCTATCACACATGGCACCTTCGTTCGTACACACAAAATGCAGCGTGTGCGTGGGTTTTACTCTGAATCGAAAGGGGATTCCGGCTGTGCTTGTGCAGCTGTGCACGCGTGTGAGCATCCGAGCGCAGGCAAGAGCTCGCAGGTCGATAAGTCAGGGCCGCTTGGGATATGCGCCGCTTGCGTTTCAAGAGATTTAACCTCTTGACCTCGAATCCACGTGGTGCCTTGTCCTTTGTTTACGCAACTTGAAGCTTCGGACAGCATATCTGTATCGTGGTTATGCAACGAAGCAACGCATGCGAGGATGGCAATCTACTGGAAAATAGATGTGAATTATCGATGGCGTTGCTGTTGGTTACTTTTTTTTATCGCCGAGTGCAACGCTGCGCAATGGGACCCTAAAGTGACCGTTTGAGTTCTAAGTAATTAGGGAGGGTCACTGGAAGATCAAGTCGCGGCAATCATTTCAATTAAGTTTAATTTAGGAATCAGACGCATAGATACGTTGGCCTTCGATGCCGGGCAGCCCAATTTCTCAAAATTAAATCGTATGTCACACACGCAGCTTATATCTCGAGAACAAGATAGAGGCAAGAAAATCGTTCGCCTGGTATATAAATTGGTCAGAATCGGATAAGTGCCACTTCGTTACGCCTCAACTTGCATAAGTAAGGCAAACGGCGAAATCAGAAAAATGATGGGGTCATTTCCCTTCGTATAACCCTCTGCCTGACGACACACACACACATAAAACAAAGAAAGAAAAAAGAGAGAAAAAATAATAAAAAAATTGAAACGAGCGACGGCAAGCAACAAGCTCTCTCTCTCTCGCTCTGGTTTCCTCTTCACCTCAAACAGGACATATCAAGAAAAAACCGGTTTCTGTTGTTAAGGCCAATCCTGCAGGGTCAAGGTTGATAGGCTGGGCGTCACGTGACAGAGCCATGCTGCGCGGCCATAAGTTGCATGACTGTTCAAAGTGGCACTGGAGCGGCCGCTGAGGGTGTCCTCCGGAAGCCATCTCGCCGGGCTTCGTCGCCTTGGGAAGAGAGACAAAGAGGAGGCTGATGGCGGGGAAGAGAGGGAGAGAGGGAGAGATAATGGCTGTGACGCAGGCGATTGCTGAGAGGCCTACGCTTTGCACACACACACACATACGTACACAGATAGATAGATAGATAGATAAATAGAATAGATAGATAGAGATAGATATAGATAGATAGAGAGAGAGATAGAGAGATAGAGAGATAGAGAGATAGAGAGATAGAGAGATAGGTAGGTAGGTAGATAGATAGATAGATAGATAGATAGATAGATAGATAGATAGATAGATAGATAGATAGATAGATAGATAGATAGATAGATAGATAGAGATAGAGATAGATAGATAGATAGATAGATAGATAGATAGCCTAGTTGGCTGATTGATTGATATATAGATAGATTGAATGATATATAAATAAGTTGACTGATTGCCATACTTTATATATAGATAAGTAGTTGTAGATGTAGGTATAGATAAATATAGATATTAGATGAATATGGATACATGAGCTGCTAGGAAAGCAAATGCATTCTCGAGCGCACAGGTGTCAACAAACGTTTGCACAATATACGTATTTTTACTCATCCTTGAACGCAATTAAAGTCTTCAAGTAAGTTAAGTCATATGCAAAATACATCAAGTTGTGATACACACTTAAACACACACACCACACACACACAACACACACACACACACGTGCACACAACACAACACACACGCACACACACACACACACACACACAACACACACACACACACACACAACACACACACACATATATATATATGTCTGTTTGTATGCCTGTACGTATGTATGTACGTACGTATGTACGTGTATGTATATGCAATGCATTATTTCGGTTTGAGCGGTTTCTGACGATATCAAGATGACTCTGAGTCTGTATTCCCTGAAACATAAGCACAAGAGAAGTGCCTCAGGATTTTAATTTGGTTGTCCTCTTTCAAGAAAAAGCCTCCTTTCTTTACTAAGAAATGAACATTAAATATTTATTCCATAATTAGTTACAAGCAGCTTTTAAGAAGAAATTTCGAGTATGTTTATCGGTGATGATACAGCGGTCAGGATCATTATATCTGCTGACGTCACTGACCTCTCACTTTCTCCTGTGTAGCTCTGTCGCTCCGTCGTGTCTCTCTCTGCCTCAGTATCTCACCTTCTGTCTAGGTGTATGTCTGTCGCTCTGTCTAGCTGTTTATCTGTCTTTCTGTCTGTTTGTCTCTCTCTCTCTCTCTTCCCCCTCTCTTCTTTTATTCCCTCCCCCCTCTCACTGTCTCTCTTCTCTCCCCCCCTCTCTCTCTCTTTGTTTCTCCCTCTCTCACTCTCTCTCTTTTTTCCCCCCCTCTTCTCTGTCTCTCCCTTCCCCCCCCTCCCCCTCTCCCTCTGTCTCTCCCTCCCTCCCTCTTTCTCTGTCTTCTCCCTCCCTCCCTCTCTCTCTAATTCTTTGTCTCTCCCCTCTCTCTCTTTTTCTCTCCCCCCTCTCTCTCTCTTTGTCTCTGCCCCCTCTCTCTCTCTCCCCTTCCCTCCCCCTCTCTCTCACTCTCCCCCCCCCTCCTCTCTCTCTCTCCCCCCCCTCCCTCTCACACACAAACGCACAGACAAAACATGCTTAATGCGGCAACCCACATGAGTCACATGGGGAGAAACGGAGGGAGCGCAGACATAACAGAGGTGACGAATAAGGAGGAAGGAATAGGAGGGAGAAGACTTGAGAGGCATATCTCCCCTTCCTTCGACCCTCCCTTTCCTCCGTAAGCGCAGCCGAGTGTCAGCAGAACGAGCGTCAGCGGGAATACTATCTGAGTTTGGGTCAGGGGCGTCCTCGATTCGGGCCGGTTTCTTCCTAGTATTTCCTATGATACGAAGAAGGGAAAAAACGTAAGATAAGCAAAGTTGCCTCCTCGGATCCCGCACCAGAGAGACGCGTAGTGACGTAACAAGCTCCGGGAAAGAGCACTTTGATTATCTTATCTTAGACAGATGGATAGATAGATGCGCAGTCATACACACAAGTGTGTGTGAGTATATATATATCTATATCTATATATATATATTCTCTCTCTCTCTCTCTCTCTCTCTCTCTCTCTCTCTCTCTCTCTCTCTCTCTCTCTCTCTCTCTCTCTCTCTCTCTCTCTCTATATATATATATATATATATATATATATATATATATATACATTTGCATATAACATGTGTGTGTAGATGAGAAATATATAATAATACTAGATAGACAGAGATAGATAGACAGATTGACTGGTAGTTAGGTAGATGGATAGATAGATAGATAAATGAGAGAGAGAGAGAGAGAGAGAGAGAGAGAGAGAGAGAGAGAGAGAGAGAGAGAGAGAGAGAGAGAGAGAGAGAAGAGAGAGAGAGAGAGAGAGAGAGAAGAGAGAGAGAGAGAGAGAGAGAAGAGATTAGAGAGAAGAGAGAGAGAGAGAGAAAGAGAAAGAGAAAGAAAAGAGAGAAAGAAAAGAGAGAGAAAGAGAGAAAGAGAGAAACGAAGAAAGAGAGAAAGAAGAGAAGAGAAAAGAAAGAAGAGAGAGAAGAGAAGAAGAAAAGAAGAAAAGAGAAGAGAAGAGAGAAAGAGAGCCGCAAGTGCACCAGTCTCAGACGTAGGAGTCCCTTGGGTCCCCCCCCCACCCCTCCGCCTCCTAAAGATTGCGTCACTCCTCCCACCATATGTTCCCGCCGCTGTAATTAGTGCGTGACAGCTTGATTGCCGCTGATGCTGTGACTGCCTGTAATGATTAGCTCTGTGACGCACATTGACACGATTCTCTTCTGCGTAATTCTGCTCGTCAATAATCTTTGTTTTCATTTCTATGTTGTTTTATAGGGATGGGTATTATGTAGGTCGGAGGATATTGATTTCCTCCTCAAGTGAAATAGATTTTGAAATTGGTGTTGAATACCGCCTATCTATTTTTCTTTTTATTTCTCGCCTTTCCTGGAATTCCGTGGGCTGTGTGACGCAGGATCCCTCCTTATAACTTTAAATTTTGGGAAATTTTATATCGAATTATTTTTCATCCCTTCTCTCAGCCTTCACCTCCCCTTCATCCTTCCCCCCTCTCTCTACTTTCCCCTCATTTGCATCGGCGGTTCGATAACCCTTTCTCCTCAACTACGCACCCTATCCGATAAAGAGACGAGGGAGAATCAATATCCACATGACTGACCAATCCGCTTGTGTCATCGGGACAGTCGTAGTCTTGGCCTTAGGGCTGACGTGGCAAGGTGGTGCTGCTGACTGTCTGGAAGGAGAGGTGGGGGGTGGGGGAGAGGAGGGGGAGGAGGAGTCAAGAAAGGAGAAGGAAGAGGGAGAGAGGGAAAAGGAGTGGAGGAGGAGGAAAGATGGGAGAGGAGGAGGAAGGGAACCGAGGGGAAAAAGAAAGTTTGGTGAGATGAGCGGATTATATATATGCACAGTGAAGCATGGAAGGCAGACGAGAGAGAAGAGGAGGAGAGGAGAGGAGTCGAAGAAAAAGTGAGAGGAAGGAGAGAGATGAGGGGAGAGAGAGAAGGGGAAAAGGAGGAGGAGAGAGAGAGCGGAAGGTGAGGGAAGAAGGGAAAGATGAGAGGAGGAACGAGTGTAGGAAGAGGGGAGAAGGAGGGAGGGAATGGAGGATGAAAGAGGGTGAGAAAAGAGAGTGAGAGGAGGAGGGAGAGGAGGAGGATAAGTGAAGAGGAGGAAGGGTGAGGTGGAAGGAGAGGAGTCGCAAGAAGAAAGGGAGAGGAGGGATATAGGAGGCATTGTGTGAATAGTGATGGGGAAGGAAAGAAGTGAGAGGAGCGAGGAGAGAGAGGAGATGAGACGAGAGAGGGAGAAGAAGAGGGGAGGAGGTATATGAGGTTGAGGTGAAAGAAGTGAGAGGAGGGAGGTGAAGAGAGGGAGGGTGAGGGAGAAAGAGGAGGTGAGGACCAGGAAGTTGGAGGGAGGAGGAAAAAGTTAAAGGAGGGGAGAATGGGGGACGGAGGAGAAAGGTAAAGAAGGAGATGAAGACAGGAAAGGAGAGAAAAGGGAGCGAGAGAGAGAGCGAGTTGTTTTGAGAGAGAGAGAACGAGTGTGTGAAAGGAGAGTGAGCAAGGGAGGAGGAGGAAGGAGGAAGGGAAAGGGGGAGAAAGTAATAGACTGGATCTATATAATGGAGGAAAAGGAGTGAGGATGATAGGATTAACGGCGAGAGATGAGACGAGAGAGGGAGGCACCGAGAACAAGAGCCCGGATTAGAAAGGAAGTATATATAATATATATATCAAAAAGGTGAGAGGGAGAGAATCGAAGGAGGAGAATAAAGAGCTAGAGATAGAGGATAAATAGAGACTAGAGAGTGACGGCAACTAAGAGAAAGTGCGTGATCAGGTATTATAAGCTGGAGCTGAAATAAATTCTATAAGGCAGAGATACAAAAGTATAAAGAAAACAAAAGAGCGAGGATATATATACTCAGAGCGAGTTGTGAAGAAGATGAGTGTGGAGATGCAGTCCGAAGAGGAGAGAGTAGAACGATAATTGTATTATGTTGATCGTAATAAAAGTGAGGAATGGAATGAATAACGTGTTTATTAAACTAGACTTCAAGAAGCGAAGAGGAGAAAATATTAGGGATGGTAATAGTAAGATCAGTATGGAGAGAAAGGTGTGGAGGAGGATGAGTGGATAAGATTAAGTCCATATAAGAGTGTCCTGATGATAATGAGAGGTTGGTGAGTCCACAGTGATGTCTATCAGAGAGAGTGAAGATGAAGGATAGGTTGGTAGCCTAAGAGGGGAAGAGTGGAGTAAGCACTGCACTAGTGGATGTGAGTAGCATAATCACAGTGGACTGGTAGAGTTTAGTGAGATGAGATCAAGTGAATCATTCCCAAGAGGAGCAATTCTCGAGGGAAGGAGCGAGGAGCGGCGGGGAGCGAGGGGAAGGAGCGAGGAAGGAGCGAGGAGCGGCGGAGCGAGGGGAAGAACGAAGAACTGGGCGAGGAGCGGCGGGGAGCGAGGGAGGAGCGAGTATTCTGATATCTGTATTCGAGGGGAATGAAGCGAGAGCGGCGGAGCGAGGGAAGGAACGAAA